TGGGCTGAGATCCCACCTGACTTGCAAATGTCAGAAAAAATAAGCACATAGCTCTAAGTTCCTTGTTCTGAACCCTGCGGTCCATATAGCCTATCTATGATCAATGAATAAAGACAGGCCCTCTCAACAGGCAGTCCACTCCCATCCTAAAAACAGAAAGGTAAATCTTCATCTGAAGCTGCTTGTTATTCTTCACTGACTGCGGGAAAATCCCAGATAACTCACTCACACTAGACCCTCACTTCTAAGAAATTTAAAACTAAATTAGAAGTATCCCATACTTTGAGTCAGATAAAGATTACAAATAAAACTCACCGTGCCTGGCATTTTTACTGAGTCCTAGTTTTTCCTGCCAGCTTGCAACAGAACACTCACTCTTCAAAGGCAATGCCTGCCCTCCGCTTATGATTGCCTTACACTTCGGGGAAGCCTATCATTCTTTAATCCATTATGCTGCTAACTTCACTATAGGCACATACCGAAATTTCAGATTTATCAGTACAAAACCTTCCAGCCCATTAGTTAAGGGAGGTGCATTCAGATCTGCATTCAGATCTCTATGAACACAAGGAACACATTGCTGTCTCTGCAGGTGTTGATTAAACCTTGAATGAGGAAGAGAAAATTGGGTCTTAGGCTCCTGGAATAATATAAAGAGCTTAATTTTAAAAACTCATCTACGGAGTGAACACCTCCTACTTTCTATTTCTTGTGATGCAAATTATTTTTAGTGAATAACATTAACGGCTGCTTATTTAAAGTGGTCATTCTGGCATGCTTGTTGTGATTTTAAAGGTTTTCCAGACTATTAGAAAGTGACATAAGATACATGGAGGGTTGGGCACTTTTGAAGCTTCCATGCAAATCTTTCATTATTAGCGCATAGGGCAAAATTGTCAGAAGTTTCAAAAAACAGCTTAGGAACCTATAGCATATGCCAAAAAAAGACAGAGGACTTAGATTCACAGTTAAACTATCATGGCTTCATAAGTTATCACTTACTGGTTGAGTTGCTTCCCGCCTGCCGATAAGCTCCTAGTTAGAGACGATGGAAAGCGACACCATTCAGCTTCGCACCTTTTTGCTGCAGGTGGTTGTTCAGCTCCAGCCCTGCTGTTGGTCGCAGGCTAGGGATACATCCAGCTGGGTACTGCTCGAACACGCATCGGAACCCTCAACATCTCTGGACCGCAAGGACCTCAGCGAGGTCTCCTCAGCAGGACTCCTTGTTGTCTGTTGTTAAGGTAAGGCCTGGGGTTCCAGCATGGTCAGATGCTAAATTCAGCCCTCAACTATTTAGGCCTTTTAACTGAAATGAAGTGTGTTTTTTACGTTTTGGAATAGACCTAGCCTGCAAGGCAGATTTCCGTCATGAAATTTTGATCCTGCCCTCAGCATTTCACAGCACTTTAATGCTGGTAGGAACTCAGGTAGTCTTTTAGCCCATCTTTAAGCTGTGAGGAAAGATTATATTAGCCTAGAGCACTGCTGATAGATGTCTGTCTGCTTTCGGAGAAAGTCAATTAATAAAAGTCCCAAGTAGTCATCCCAAGTAACCAACGTTAACATAGGAATGGGAATCAAGATGACTGCATTATTTGTAACAAAGCTTCTTCAAAAGAAAAAGAATAAAGCCATTTTGCCAAATATTTTCATGCAATGACTAAAATTCATGTCTGCACAGGGTATTATAAGGACTATTGACACCCAAGTGGCTTTCGCCCATCAGCTTCGTCAAGACTTTGGGTCACCTCAATAAGGATATTTTCATTTGCATTTTCCCTTGTTTTTCTCTTTCTTTTTCTTTTTTTTTTCCTCTCCAATCCTTCTCCACTGAAGGGTTAAGATTTCAATTTGACAGAGATCCAAACATTTACATTTGGTAGGTAGTAGGTTGAAGAGCATCATAAGCAGCAAAAAGGCATTATTCTCCATCTGTGATTTTACCCTTATGCAGAGAGCCAGCACAAACTTTATGCTGCGCTTACGTAGACTCCAGCGCCATAAGCTGAGACCCTTATCGACAAGTATTACTTTCTGCAGGCACAGAGGGCTAATGCTAAGCAGCATATTCCCAAAGAGCAGTTGGGAAGGCTCTATGCTGGGCGACATGCCATCCACCCCAGAAAATGTTTTGTAGCTCCACAGATCTAGGTCAGTGAAAAAAACATCCCATTTACAATTCAGGCAGAGGTGGAAGCACTTCAGAGTGCCAGATTGTTCATAAGAGAGCTTTATGGTATCTGCTGAGTGAATTTGATAGGATCATCTAACATGGCTTGGCTTCCTTAGTTACCTGGCTATCTGAAACATCTGGTCAGGTTTGCAATTTGCCTGTCACTAATTTTTAATCATAAAACATTTATGCTAAGAAGCAAGGGAAGAGAGGAAATCACCTTGGCGCTCACACATTGACAGACCTGCCTCACTCCTTTTTTCTATTTAATAGAGACACACTCAATATCTAAACTCCTCTCTTTATCCTATAACAAACTTAATTGTCCCTTGAGGCAAATATCGATCTCAGCTTTGTCCTACGCCTTCTTTGCCTTCTGGATCAATACATCCTGATATTGCCTTCAACATGTCAAAAAGTGTGCCTGATACAGTCATTCAATCAGACAGCCTATTATCTGTTGAAAGACTTCTTAAAAATATACCATAAAAATAAATGCTGATAGTCAGTAGCTGATTCTGCCAAGCAATTTCCACTCAGAAAGCAAATATCCACTCAGCTACAAACTTTCATAATAAGTTCCCTGGCCGTACAAGCTGAACGCCCATCTTCTCTCCAGCAGGAAGTCTGCAATGCTGGTCACACCAAATAAACAGGATGAGATGCAAAGCAGCCGAGAGCTTATACATGAAAACCTATTTCCAAATTTCCAGCAATAGACTACTTCCCAAGGGGTTGTCTAAGGAAAATGGGGAAGCCATTTGTCCAAAACAGATATCTCAGAGTGGATCTTGATTTGCTCTACTGAGAAGTGTGTTGGCAAGTGCACTTGAAAAGCTAGCACACAGGAGCACAGTACCTCACAGGAAACTATTACAAATAATGAAAACTCCTCAGAAAAAGAAAAAAAACCCTATAACTTGTGCAAACCTGTAACCATGTGGAACAAATGAACCCACTAATATCGTACATAAAAACTGGATAGGTCTATTTGAATCTAATTTGATGAACCATAAAAGTCATTTTTGGTGATACCAATTATTTTTTGATAGTAATAGCAAGCAGATAAACAGCTGAATGAAAACTGCCCTCCTTTCCATACATTTATTTTTATACACATATAGGATCCCTTACTATATTAAGTATTTAAACACAAAACATGATACTGCGTCAACAAGGCTCGCCTGATAGGTACTACACCTACTATGCTACCACCAAAACAGGGACATGGACCTGAAGCCACCTAATAGCCCACACTAGCTCTTGTGCCAGCCACACAGAAAACCTCTCCCCTAGCTGACACATGTACCTATTTCTTACTTGCTGCCTCATTATGTTCTATGTATCAACTTTCCACAGCTCCTTCCTACATGCCACCCTTGCCACAGACAGACCAGATGTCTTCTCCTCCTTGCACGGTTCTGTGAAATCCTACTTCCTCTAGCTCAGAGGCAGCAGTGCTGGAAAACTAACAGATGGACAAGAGCAAAACATGAAGTCCAGCATAGAGAGGCAACCAGTGTCAGATATAGGATGGAAATGCAGGAGGAACGGGTAAATTAACTTATTAAATATTGACTGGAATTAGTTTTACTTAATGTTTTCCACAGCTGAAGCTCAGTTTAACAAAATGGTAGGTGGTAACAGGTAGAGTGTTGTATTTCATTGCTCCAACACAGTAGCAACCTCTAGGACACAATGTATGGAAAATCTCAACTTATTCTTCATCGCTGACCTTCACAGTCATTAGTAGCCATAATGCAAAATAGCCATTCAGCAGCCTTATATCCCTATTTACACAGCTCAACTTAAAAAGGGTTTAGGATCTCATAATCTGCTTTTTGATTGACCTTACTGTGTCTTTGCTACAAGACCTGTCATTACCGTTACTGTTCCCTGGCAAAGAACCCAAAGTATCATTTGCAAAGGTAGCTTTGTCTCAATCAAGACAGGGTGCAGCCAGAAAACAACACAAAACAACAGTACAAAGTGCTGAATTTCAGTTTATTACGTGCAGCATATGCAGAATCCCCTTGAGTCCTGCAAGATGGAGTTTTCCTAAATCCCTTCTGATTTAGTGCCTCCACCTCCCAGAGCAAAAACAAATATCTATTGCCTCTTAAATGAAGTAGATAGAATTTCTTGGCTTTAGGGATCTTGAAAAATATACTCTAACTTTCCCATGGGAATATCTGCAATAGTTTATTTTTCTTAAATGAGCATTCATGTATTAATTTATATTTACAGCATCTGGCTATGTAAATTCCTAATATAAACCTGTATCAAGTAGGAACCAAAATCTATCTTTACAAATGGGTTTGCATGGATGCAAAGCTCTCCCTCCAAGGATTTCAAGCATGTCTGATTTCCAGTCCTTGCATCTTATCCCTACAGACCTCCCTCCTCTAGAACCCTAAAAGAGGTCGGAGATTGAGTTTGGATTAGCATTTGGACACACGGGCAAACGTAGTCAGGACTATGCCTGAATGATTTTTTATTTACAAAACTAGGTTAGAGGTATTCATCTGCATCTGGACTAGTGAACAGCAGCTGCTCAGCAGCAGCTGGTCACTGCTTTTAACATTCTCCTTTTTTGTGTAAAGAGTAAATAAGTTGCATTGGATGTTGCAACGTGAGTGCTTATGGTGGGGAAAGACACTACTTCATTATAAAATGTACATCTTTCTACTTTTGGGTGAACTCTTGGGACAATATTATTTAATCCTACTGAAACATGTCCCTGTTGGATTTTCTTTCCTTCAGCTGCCTGCTCCTCTCCAGTTCATGTTCGCAGGTGCACATGTTTTCCTCCTTGTGTGTAGACTTCAGAAGTCAGACTCTATGTCCTCCAAGTTTCATCTGTTCTTCTGGAAAAAGCCAGGATTTTGGGTCCTCTGGACATCTGCAAATTCCATAATTTGACCAGGGCTAGTTGTGTGTACTGGAAGCCCTTAGTGAGCTATGGCTATGCGTGCTACGGCTTTGAATTGCAGTCAGACAGTGCAATACGGAAGAGACAATCTTACCTCCAAAAATGACTAGTAGCTGCTCTTTCTGGTTCAGGCTAACTCCATCCTGTGCAGGCAGCCATGGGAAACATCAGCTCCAGGACTGACTGCGGATATTCACCCTCCGGCCATCAGGTAACAGGCCAGGCAGAAGTTGGATCCCCTCCTGCCTGCAGGCTTTGCACAGCATCCACCTTTCAAGCTAGGCTACTTCTCCTCCACTTGCACATGTTCTCCAGGAAGACGGCTATTAAATAAAACACAGCTGCATTTCTGTTGAGAGTTTACTAGTTCAGTGACCTTCTCTATTTTATTGATGGCTCTGCTAGTGAGCAGTTTGTTGTGGCACTGATATTAAAGATATCTTTTCCTGAAGGGAAGCAATTGCTTCTATGAAGCTTTTAAATTGTTCTGGTCAGGCTAAACCACCAAACTTGTTATAAAGCTTTTATGTAGATTACTACCAACAACATTAGCATATTAATTATTCCTCTGTGAAATCTTAAAATGTTAATCCACCACATATTGCTAATTAGAGAGCTATGCACAGCTATGCACAGCTTAGAGCATAGCACAGCTATGAAACTAAGCAGAGATAATGCTCTCAAATCCAACAGAGATTGTTGTTACCTGTCAGATGAATTAGCTTTTATTTTTATTTTTTGATAGCGAGCTGAAATATCTGCCTTGAATTACCACCACCCAGTGACTTACTACACATAGCTTGGCATCCTCAGGATTATCTCTGGTTTTCCCCATTAATATGGTCTTCTGGATGTCACTAAATGTTCAGATTCTGTTCTTCTTCTAACAGTTTGATACGGAATCAGGGAGGCCAGGGAAAGTCTTCCAGTTTTCTTATCTGGGCCCCGGATTAGGCCATTAGCAATGGCAGCTAGGCTGATCTTGGATTTGCCTCACTGCTGTGCCATGTTGCATCCCAGTGCACATCAAAAGTTCACCTCAAAGGTCAGGTTTGTTTTAGGCCTGCTCCTTTCAATACTTAGGAGTCCAATTTGATTTTCAGATGCTTTATCAACGGACCTGTTAAAAAAAGCACTACTGTCACAAACTACACTGTGGTGGGACAACATTGCAGAACCTCTCTTTTACTCTCCTGTTAGAAGATGTGTTTCTCGGAGTGGAGCCACTGATGGTCTATGGGACTCTGCTGCAGAAGAGAGAAGTGTCCCCAGCCTGTAACCTGTGTTTCTCTATGGGATATTTCCAGATCTGTGCTGGTCAGAAAGCTAGCTAATATTCCACCTGCAGGAAGGTCCAAGTCTGTGACTCTGACTCAAGGTGACTTTTCTGTAAGGGTCAAGGCACCCATATAGCACAGTGTTCAGGGACTCTCTCTTCTTCAATTTATACCAAATAGATGCAGAGAGTCACCTCCTGCCTCTGACCTGATTCTCTCATTTGCCTAATTATTATGCCACTTTAGGTTGAATATATCAGCCTAAGATTTGCTAGCTAATCACTCCCTGTATTCAACTAATTTACACAATGAGTAAACTTTGTGAACAAAAACCCAAACCACTCTGACTCTTTGCTGTAATATGCATTACAGAAAATGGAAAAAGTCCAGTTAGCAACTCCATACAGTAGCAGTATGGACTGCATAACTTCTCACTCACAGAAATCTCAGAAACTCATTAATCGGACAGCAAAGACAGTTCATACATATTAGGAGCTCTCCAGAACACGCCTTTTCTCAATGCCTTCTTCCAAAAGATGGAATGATCAGATAGAAAAATATCATTAATGGGGCTTTGTGATCTCGGTCAGAAATCATTTCTCTTTCTTTACTCCTGGTAATGTGAAGCTGTATTTAAACTTGCTGGTAAAGAGCTTTGGGATCCTTAGGTGAGGAACGCTGTGAAAAGTCCAAGGCATTATTGGACTGGGAGTTATCTAAATCACAGGGAATTAACTAAAGAATATAAAGCTATTAAACACTCCCTAATGCAGTTGCTTTAGAGGAAATGCTGAGTGATAAATATTAGTGGGTTTTTTAGAAGATAGGAGGATGAAGAAATGAAATACTGCCAGTATGTCTTTTGTCCCTTAAATAAGAGAAGCAATTTGTCCAGAAAAAGTAGAATTCATTTTTCTTCTTACAAATAAGATGGCAACAATTACTAGAAAAAAAAATATACATATATGTTAATTTCTGATAATTCCTAATAGGATTTGAAAGATGTATGATTTGAGAATTCAATTTTTTTTTCTCAACTTGCATGCCAATTTTACATATTCAGAGGGAAAAATCTCCAGATTTAATACCATGAGCATATTGCTTTATTTGGGGTGTAGCTTTACTTCTTCACCATAGCTTGAGGAACACTGTTTCGATCGTTCAAACACTGCTCGTTTGATGAGAGCAATGGAAAAAAGAAGTGCCAGATTTTCAATACACAAATATGCATAAACCAACATGCACACACAGCTCCTCTAAAATTTTAGTGAGTTATGATCTATAGATCTACCCAGAGAACAGAGGAGGACATGAGAACAGAATTACATCTGAGCTCATCTACCGAATAATAATAGTAATTCAAAAAAAAAATCATCGCAAAAGAATTCTAGGTCTCAAATCCCTTGTAAGCTCCTTCCCAGCAGATAAACAGAGTAGAACAAATGGAGCAAACAGAACCCCTTTGCCTTGAGTATTGCCGCACCTGCCAAAGCAAACACGGTCCTATTTTAAAAAGCTTACCTAGCCACAGTATTTGCTCACTTGAACTGCTCTTCATTTTAAAGCAATGTTAATTTCCAGGTCCTCTTTTGGCTGAAAAGGGTATGATACTGAAGCTATTAGGTTATTCCCATCCCTGCATAAGCTTTAGAGTTTGAAAGGATGTAGAGGATCCTTATTAGCATCTTATGGGCAAGATAACCACAGTCTTTTGTTTAAGTCATTTATTTGAGTGCCACGTTCCACATCTCATAGTGGGATTTACCCTCAAAGCTGGCTGAACGTCTCCGTTTATCAACTGCACAATATGTTAAAAAAAAAAAAGAGAGAGACGCAGAAAAGAAAAGAAATAGACCTCTTCTCGCATATTTAACTGGTTTTAAGAGCATAGCCAAAGGGCATATTTTCCCTCAAAGCTGCGTGCGATCCTG